CTGTTGCTTTGTTTTTGTTTGTTTGTTTGTTTGTTTTTGGGGGGGGACAAAGGGGCAGAGAGACAGAGACAAATACAAATGTTCCATCTGGTTATTTGCTTCCTAAGTCATCACAACAGAGAACTACTTCCAGATCTCTGACATTGGTGGCGGGGAGCCAAGTACTTGAGCTTTCACTTCTGACTTCCCAAGTGCGGAAGCATCAGCTAGAGCTGTGTAGCCAGGATTCAAACCCAGGCACTCCTGTGTGCATGCGGTAGTCCCACATGGGGTCTTAGTCTCTTTGCCAAATACCTACCCCTGATGGCCAGGTTTCTCTTCAGCTTGAATGAGGAGCAACTTCTCAGATGAAAAGTATATATTATAGGTCTTTTTTTTTTTTTAAATAAAGCATTCTCAATCTTCGTTTTTAATAGGATAAACAAAACATTGGCTCTTCTTGAAACAACAACAAAAAACCACCAGAAAACGTATTGTAGGTGACCTAGTTGGCTGAAAGAGATTATTAGTTCTGTGTTCCTTTTGATGGCAGTGTGAAATTATTTTTGACGTCATTGTTCTGGTTAATCTTGTCTGAACACTGCTGCTTTCCCAGCTTCCCTACCTTTCCCTGGTCCTTGTGCCCACAGTGACTGAGCGTCCAGTGCGTACGGTGAGGAACACAGTCGGGAATCAGGATGCACCTTCTCTTTGCCCTGCTCTGAAGTTTGGTTCCTCGTTTTTCAAGTGAAAAGCAAAATCAAACTAGAAGATTTCTTAAGTTTTATTCTGACACCTAACATTAATTCTGATATCTTTTGGTATAAATACTTGTCATGATTCCAGATGTTAGAGCCTGTGCTGTGGTATAGCTGCAGTATTTGCATCTCTTAAGGATGCTGATTCACGTGCAGGCTCTTCGGTGCCCCAGTGCACCTGAGAAAGCAGTGGACGATGGCCCAAGTCTTTGGACTCCTGCACCCATGTGTGAGACCCAGGAGTTCCTGAACTGGCCCAGCTTTGGCTGTTGTGGTCTTTTTGGGGTGAACTAGTGGGTAGAAGATATTTCCCCCCCTCTTCTCTCTCTCATTCTCTTTTGTGTTTTTTTTTATTATTTATTTGTGTATTTTTAAGATTTATTTTATTTTTATTGGAAAGGCAGATATACAGAGAGGAGAGAGAGGAAGATCTTCCATCCAATGGTTCACTCCCCAAGTAAGCGCAGCGGCTGGTGCTGCGCCGATCCAAAGCCAGGTTCCAGGAGCCTCTTCTGGGTCTCCCACACGGGTACAGGGTCCCAAAGCTTTGGGCCGTCCTTGACTGCTTTCCCAGGCCACAAGCAGGGAGCTGGAAGGGATGCAGGGCCAACGGGATTAGAACCGGTGCCCATATGGGATCCCGGGTGTGCAAGGCGAGGACCTTAACCACTTTGCCACCGCGCCGGTCCCTCTCTTTTGTGTTTTACAATTCTGCTTTTAAATAAATAATTTTTTTAAACTAGGATTTCAGAAGTATTCATTGATGGCTGTCCACGTGCTTTTACCACTGTGATGGACCGGCCTAGATTGGTTTTCATGGGGTGGAGAAGAAAGGGAGGAAGGAATTTTAAAGAAATACATTTTTTTCTTAAAAGACTTATTTATTTATTGGAAAGTCAGATATACAAAGAGGAGGAGAGGCAGGAGGAAGATCTTCAGTCCAATGATTCAGTCCCCAAGTGAGAGCAACGGCCTATGCTATGCCGATCCAAAGCCAAGAGCCAGGAAATTCTTCCGGGTCTCCGACACGGGTGCAGGGTCCCAAGTGTTTGGCCCATCCTCGACTGCTTTCCCAGGCCACAAGCAGGGAGCTGGATGGGAAGTGGAGCTGCTGGGATTAGAACCGGCGCCCATATGGGATCCCGGCGCGTTAAAGGCGAGGACTTTAGCTGCTAGGCCACTGTGCTGGGCCCCAAGAAATACATTTTTAAATTTTCTATTTCATTTACATGAAAAACAGATGAGAAAGTCAAACTAACGGCTTTTTTCTGGTGATTCACTCATAAGATACCAGCAACACCTAAAGCTGGGCTGAGCCAGAGTTAGGAGTCACTCAATTGGGGTCTCCGTGTGGTGGCGAGGAGCTAAGTACTTGAGCCATAATCACTCAGTTCCTACCACGGTGCGCATGAGCAAGAGGCTGGGATCGGGAGCAGAATTGGGACTCAAACCTCCGCAGTGTAGCTGCCTGAGTTGCATCTCATCCATTCTGCCAGAGGCCTAGCCCTAAGGGATTAGTTATTTACTTATTTATTTTAAGAAAATAAATGAACTCAAAGGCGGCAAGAACATGAAACAACTTGAAGGGGTACAGCAGGCAGAATTAGAGAAGTGGGTGACTCATGTAATTTTTATAGGAGGCAAACCTTGCTTCTACCCTTACAGTTTCATTGTAGGTGGAGACATATGAATTAAGAAAAGCAGATTGACTTTAAAAAAAAGGTTTTTATTCATGTACATATACTGTAATTCACAAATAAATGTGACTATACAGATAGGTAAAGATGGTAGTTTGTTAGCCTACCTCAACAAGGAGCCAAAGAGGCTGCTGTGAGAAAAAGAGGGTAACATTTATCCGTGTCCTGTGTGAGGCTGAGGCAATCATATCTGTTCCTGATTTGCATATATCCTTTTAGTTTTTGTTTTTAATTCTTAAAGATTTTATTAGTGAGTTTTAGATTCAAAGATTTTATTGATGACTTTTAGGCTCACAGCCAAGCTGAGAGGAAGGTGCATTGCTCTCCTGTGTTCCTGCGTCCCTACCTGCATGGGTTCCCCTACTGGCAGCCTCAAAATGAGAGTGATGCATTTACTGCACTTGAGAAACCCGTACTGCCATCACTGTCCCCTAGAGCACTCAGTTCACACTGGGCCTCCCTCTGCTCTCCGGCATTCAAGATCATGTTTATTGTACAGATTTATGCTTTTTTTAAAAAAGATTTATTTATTTTTAATTAGAAAGGCAGATATACAAAGAGGAGAAACAGAGAAGATCTTCTGTCCGATGGTTCACTCTCCAAGTGAACACAGCAGCTGGAGCTGTGCCAATCCGAAACCAGGAGCCAGGAGCTCTTCTGGCTCTCCCACACTGGTGAAGGCTCCCAAGGATTTGGGCCATCCTCAACTACTGTTCCAGGCCACAGACAGGGAGCTGGGTGGGAAGCGGATCTGCCAGAATTAAAACTGGCGACCATATGGGATCTTGTCGCATGCAAGGCGAGCACTTTAACCACTACGCTGTCGAACCAGGCCCCAGATTTATGCTTTACAGAGTTATAGTCTAATGCATGCACTAATGATTGATGATTAAATCAGGGTAACTAACATTTCATCTCAAACATTTTTTCCTTTGTGTTAGAAACTTTTGATTATCCAGTTCTTGTGAAATATGTTTTAACTTTTTATGAACTATTCTGCAGAATGCTGGCACTTCTTTACCCTTTTTGAGTATTTTCGTGCCCACTGTCCAGCCTACTTTTACCATCACTCCATTCCTCACCCCTCTTAAACTCTCTACTTCTATGGAGTCAACCGTTTTTGCTTTTACGTTTGAATGAGAAATACACGTGGTATTGACCTTTCTGTGCCTGGTTTATTTCACATAACATAAGGTCCCTGGCTCTTCCTACATTGCTATAAATAGTGAGGGGTATGCTGTGTATTCATGTGCATGCATAGCATATTGCTTTATCATATTGGAATCTTGCTTGATTGTGTTACTTAGCCATTGTGAATAGGGCTGCAATAAATATTACAGGGTTTTTTTTGATACTGAACTCATTTCCTTTGGATATATACCTGTTAATGGCATAGTTGGATTATATTAATAGTTTTTGTTTTATTTTACTTTAAAAAGATTTATGTAGTTTTGTTTCAAAATGTTATAGAGAGAAGACAGAGCTTCGTTTGCTTGCTCACTCCCTAAGTGACCACAACAGCCACAACTGAGCTGATCTGAAGCCAGGAAGCCAGGAGCCTGCACTGGGTCTTCCACAGGGATGCAGGGTCCCAAATACTTGGGCCACTCTATGCTGTTTTCCCAGGCCAAAAGTTGAGCAGCTGCGGTATAAACTGGTACCCATTTGGGATGCTGGCTCCACAGGGTGGAGGAGTAGCTTATTGAGCACGGCACAGGCTGTGTTTTTATTTTGCAAAGAATATAAATGGAGATTGAATTTTGTTAGTTTTTTCTGTATCTAGAGACAGTATCACATTGCTTTCCTTTAGTTTGTTGATATAAAGACTTATGTTCATTGATTCGCACTTACCATTTAAAAATGAAACACCAGTAATATGTCTCCTTACTGAATACCATGCTTGCTTTTTTCTTTCTTTATTATCATCTTAAGATATACTATATATTTTACTTATTTGAATATTCTGTATATACTCACTGCAATGTAAAGTTCTCTGCTTTAGCTTAATTCTCTAGGGCATTGTCTGGCACAAGGTGACATTCAGCAGACATTTGTGGGTTTTTTTTTTAATTTTTAGGATTTATTTATTTTTATTACAAAGTCAGATATACAAAGAGGAAGAGAGACAGAGAGGAAGATCTTCTGTCCGATGGTTCACTCCCCAAGTGGCCGCAAAGGCTGGAGATGAGCCAATCCGAAACCAGGAGCCAGGAGCTTCTTCCAGGTCTCCCATGCGGGTCCAGGGTCCCAAGGCTTTGGGTGTCCTCACCTGCTTTCCCAGGCCACGGACAGGGAGCTGGATGGAAAGTAGAGCTGCTAGGATTAGAAGTGGTGCTCATATGGGATCTCAGTGAGTTCAAGGCAAGGACTTTAACCACTATGCTATCGTGCCGGGCCCTCAGTAGACATTTGTTTAGTAAGTGAATATTTGCTTTAGGAGCAGAGAACAAGCTGTGCAAGTACATGATAGTACACCTTAGGAGAACTATGAGTAAAATTCTTTGGTAGCTCAAGATGGGCCATACTAGGTTTTTTATAACAGATTCCTCTTCCTCTTTTCTGTCAGATTTGAAAGAAGATACATCTAGAACACATTTATTTAACGATGCTGAAAACAAGAAGAATTCAATAAAAATGTGGTTTAGTCCTCGAAGTAAGAAGGTCAGATACGTTGTGAGTAAAGTTACAGTGCAAACCCAGCCTCAAAAGGTGAAGGATGAAAACGCTCCTGAAGCCTCACCTTATGAATTTGTCTCCATGACTCCTCCTACAGATGTTCCTAAGAAGGCTAGAAAGACTCCCACAACATCTGGGAAAAAGCAGAAAAAAAAAACTTTAGCTGAAATCAACCAAGAATGGAATTCAGCAGTAGGAAAAGGAGGAGGTGACCTTGACTCAAAAGAGGAATGCAAAGAAAAGCTGGTGTCCTTCTGTAGCCAGCCATCTGTTATTGTTAGTCCACAGGCAGAAGGTGAGAGAGACTTACTTGCTAGTGGCACTTGCATAGAGTCTGAATCTTCAGAAAATATAACTGAAGTCTTTTTGCCTTTAGCTGAACATATTGAGTCTCCAGACATTGAGACCATGGATGAAGTGTCTTCTGAGGAGGTCTCTGAGAACCATCTTGGATCTGAAAGGTCTTTGACAGTAGATGGTATAGGAAACATAACTGAAGTCTCTTTGCCTTTAGCTGAGCAGAACAAGTCTCCAGACATTGAGACCATGGATGAAGTGACTCCTGAGGAGGTCTCTGAGAACCATCTTAGATCTAAAAGGTCTTTGACACTAGATGGTATAGGAAAACGTAGGCATTCTAGTTCCGTTTCTAACACAAGTATAAGCAGCATTCCAACCACCAGCGGAGATATTCCCGAGCAAACTGAGCCTTCAGAAAGTGTGCCAGTACCTGACTGTTCTTCACCACCTCCAAGAAAACGTAAAGTGCGTACCTCACTGAGCAGAAAAAACAGCGAGGTCCCAGATGACTCCATTAACCTTTCACCAGGCACTGCACCCCCTTCCTTGAATAGTTCACATTACAAACGGATGATCTGCAGCCAGTCAGCAGTGAAGGCATCCTCCAGCAGCCTTATGGCTGGGAAGAGGAATCATAGAGGAGAGACTTTGCTCCACGTTGCTGCAATTAAGGTAAGATGCTTACTCTGAAGCACCATCTGGAATGAGACCATTGGGTTTATGACAGATAGGTTAAGACTGGTAGGATAATTAACCTACCAGGAACATAATGCTTCCTCTGAAACAGAGAAACAAAATTCACAGGCACTGTAACTTCACCTCAGTTGAGCAGTGGCCTCTGGGTCTGAAAAGCATGATCTTGTAGGAGAAAACTGGTTTCAATATCACGGCTTCTGCTTGTCCATGTGCATTTGCTGCTGTTGTTACCATTCTGTTTACTCATTCTTTCCTTGCTTTATGAATGCAGATAATTGCTAAGTGACTGCCTAGCAGAAGAGCTCACTAGCACCACTAGCACCGTGAGTGGGAGGCAGCTTCTGCTCCTGTTTGACCTTCTTGCTAGGCGTTGACAGGACTGGGAAGGTTGAGGATGTGGTCTGTGCATTCCTCCAGTGACCTGGACATTGGATGATCAGATAGGAGTCCTGCAGTTCACGGCAAAGGAGTGGTTGTGTGCCCCACTGTGAGCCTGTTCATTGAAGTGAATTCTCTTTAATTATTGCCTTACCACCTGGAAGGTGGCAATGGTGGGTTTGGAACTTGGCTTTTTTCCTCAGCATGAGATATGCTTGCTGTGGTTATTCTTTGAAGTTGACTCAAGAATGACATGCAAAAGGGAGCAGGAAGCACTGTAGCTTTAGAGACTTTACTTCATGAATCCATGCAGGTGTTGAGGGAACACTGTTTGGTAGAGTTTAGGACTAAATTAGAATAGCTTCTCTGTTCTGAGTGATATTGCCTGGTAAATTCACTTAGGATGTTTGAATGGCCAGAGAACTTTGGTAGGTTTTAATGGAATTCCTTTGAAGTTCTGAAACATGAGGCTGGTAGGCAGAATAAAATATATGGCAAGAAAATGATAATCTATACCATACTACCTCTAGTAGAGTATGGTCCAGAGATTCCTGTACTTTTCCTGCAAAGCAAGAGAAAAGTGCAAAAATGAGGTTTTTATATGATTGGTCCGCCCTCCTCTTGCCATGGGTTTTCTTTTAAATCAATGTGCCAGTGATGGGGCAGGGTTGAGGACTGGGCTTAAAGGGAAGTCTGCAGTATTACTACATGCCATGGGTCACATGCTTTGGTCAACTTGAAATATGGTAGTTTAATTATATTTTAGTTTTCTGCAATTCATGATACAAAACCAGGCTTTAAAAAAATACATTATGTATTTATTTGAAAGGCAGAGTTACAGGTAGAGAGAAAGAAAATGAGAAAGATCTTCAGTCCACTCCTTTACTCCCCAGATAGCTGTAATAGCAGGAACTGGGCCAGGCCAAAGCCAGGAGCCATAAGGGTGCAGGGCCCAAGCCGTTGAACTGTCCTCCATTGCCTTCCCAGACACATTAGCAGAGGGCTCCAATCATGGAGCGCCAGCACTGCTTGTGGCACCTTAACCCTACTGTGCCACAGGACTGATACCAAAATCAAACTGTTCTTTTCACCATGTTTTATATCTGTGCATAGTATATGTGCAGAAAAGCAGTCATTGAACATCTTTAATAATAATAAAATAAAATCAGAAATCCACAGTGCCCCAGAATCTAAAATGTTTAGAGTGCTGACTGAATGTCTCAAATGGAAAACTATGCATTATGTAACAGTTTTGTGCGGAAAAACAAAAAATTCAGAATGTGTGTTTATGATGCACATGAAGCAAATGAATTTTGTTTTTAGCATAGGGATCAATCCCCCCGATACCTCATTATGTATATACAAATGTTTCAGAATCTGAAAAAAAAATCCCAAATAGATAGGATATTAAGCCTATTGTATAATGTTATTGTGTTATTAGTGCTTTATAGATATAAGGAAATAGTCTAAATATTATTTTGTATTCTTTTTTTGCTAATACATAAGATTTCTCTAGTAATATGCCCATAATAGCCAGGTTGGTCCAGTCCAGAGCCAAGATCCCAGAAACTCCATCTGGGTAACACAAGTAGATGGCAAGAACCAACACACTTGAACCATCTCCTACTGCCTTCCAGGATGAATTGGCAGGAGGCCAGATTGGAAGTGGAGGCAGGACTTGATCCCATGCAAGAGATGTGAGATGCAGGTATCCCAGGGAAGGATTACGGATTTGGGGTTTGAAGAGTGGTAGAGGGCTAACGTGCTACGCCTCAATGCCTGCTGGGGTACACGTACTTTCATCATCAGCTGGAGTAAATATTTTCAGGTTTATGATAGCTATTCAGCTCTACAGATAATGGGGTGAAAGCTGCGATAGACAATAAGTAAACAAATAAAACCTCTAACAAAAGTACGTGACTGACCCTCAGGCTGTAGATTGCCTACTCTTAGACTCATCACAGAAAAAAGCCACAATAGCATAATAAGACATGAGAAATTGGTAGCAGGGTGCTGTTCTGAATTTTTTTCACTATGTGTTCAGGATTGTTTAATAAAACTTGTTCAGATTGTTGGTTTGTTTTAGAGTCTTGTCCGAATTAGAGTTTCTCACTGTTCTTCCTTCCTTCCTTCCTTCCTTCCTTCCTTCCTTCCTTCCTTCCCTCCTTCTTTCCTTCCTTCCTTCCTTCCTTCCTTCCTTCCTTCCTTCCTTCCTTCCTTCCTTCCTTTCTTTCCTCTTAAGACTTAATTGAAAGGCAGAATTATAAAGAAAATGGGGAAAAGACAGAGAGATCCTCCATTCACTCTTTTACTGCTCAAATGGCCATAGCAACCAAGGCAGTGCCAGAACAAAGCTAGGAGCCTAGAACTCTATTTGGGTCTCCCACATGGATGGCAGAGACACAAGTACTTGTGCCATCTTGACTACTTACCCTGGCACATTAACAGAAAACTGGATCAGAAGTTTAGTGGTCAGACTCTTATGGGATGCTGATGTCACAGTTGGTAGCTTAACCTACTGCACCATAACATCACAGGCCTCTCATTTAGCTTTTCTTGAATTTAACTGTTAAATACTATTGTCAGTAGTTGGGCAGTTTTGATACAAAATTTAAGAAATTATCATGGATTTTGAATTGATTTTTAGCCTTTTTTTTTTAATCTATCCACTTTTATTGGAGTGTCAGATTCACAGAGAAGAGAGACAGTGAGAAATATCTTCATCCACTGGTTCACTCCCCAGTTGGCCTCAGTGGCCAGATCTGAGCCAGTTCAAACCCAGGAGCCAGGAGCTTCTTCCAGGTCTTCTACACAGATGCAGGATCCCAAAGCTTTGGGCCGTCCTCAACTGTTTTCCCTGGCCACAAGCAGGGAGCCAGATGAGAAATGGAGCAGCTGGGACACAAACTGGCGCCCATAAGGGATCCTGGCATATGCAAGGTGATTATGTAGCCACTAGGCTACTGTGCTGGGCCCTATTCTTCTGATTTAATTAAAGCAAATTGTTGAGCTGACATAGTGAATTAAACCTCCACCTATAGTGCAGACATCCCCTATGGCTGCTGGCTCTGGTCCCTACCACTCCACTTCCTATCCATCTTCCTGCTGATGTGCCTGGGAGCACAGTGGAAGATGTCCCAAGGATTTGGGACCCCCCCACACCCACATGGGACACATGGAAGAAGCTCCAGGCTTCATACTGACCTAGCTTTAGCCATTGCAGCCATTTGGGAAGTAAATCAGGGGTCAGAAGATGTCTTTCTGTTTCTCCTTTTCTCTCTGTCTTTCAAATAAAAATAAACACATTAAGGAAATTGTTGAGACCAGAAAATTTTATTAAATCACCTTTACTTAAATTTTTGCATCCTCGAAACCACACAGCTCCATACCCCTTTTCCTAGTACTAACTGGCATTGATTAGTCATCATTCATACCTTAGCAATGGCTTACTGTGAGGCGGCAGTATGGTTCAAACCTGGCCTGCCTGGGTGTATTTTTGATGTAGGCATCATCTTAGTTGTAAAGGTGGTTTTGCAAGACCGACTTTTCTTACATCATAACAAACAGTGGTGAAGACATGCTGAGTAGAGAGAAAGTGCATTGGGAGCGGGTCTCCTTCAGGGTTCGGCTTTGTTATTCATTATACTCTTAAGAAGTCATGTCATATTGTGTATTCATGTGTTGTATCCTCGTGCTATTATGAGCATGATCATTCTCAAGATTTTAGGTGTGTTGTTTTTTAAGATTTTTTTTAAGGTGGAATTAGAAGGAAAGACAGATCTTCCATTTACTGGTTCACTCTCCATACGGCTAGAATGACTGGGGCTGAGCCGGGTGAAAGCTAGGAGCTGGAAATTCCATGTCTCACACGTGGATAGCAAGCCCCAAGCATAGAGGCTGTCATCCGTGACCTTCCCAGGGGCATTGTCCAAAAGCTGGTTTGAAAGCAGAGCAGGCAAACTTGAAAAAGAGTTCCAATATGGGAACATAAGTGGTAGCTTGGCCCATTATACAAGCCCTAAGATTTTAATTTCTAGAATACCTTTTGGAGTCAAATCCATTTTCACCTTCTGTTGCATCCTCCTGCCTTTAAGTCTGCCATCATGGTATCAGTAATGGTATTGCATTGTTGGCTAGGGTGTTAGAATCATCTTTCACGTTATTTTATTGAGTAAATGTTAAGAAGCCAGAGAAATGTTCATATATTCTAGAACTCTAACAGGTGGCTTTTTCTGTTTTTAGCATTATCTAATTGCTAGATGGGGAAATTTTGGGCACATGGTTCATTTATGTGTCAAAGCATTTTTACTGTATTTAATTGTAATGTTTATGTTGTTTATGTTTGCAGTATCTAGTGAATCTGAAGAATCTTTGTTTTCACTGAAAAGTTAGCAATAAAAATATTCAGTGAGACCCACAGTCACACACACTTCCTTATTTTCAGCCTTTGAAGTATTACTTGAAAATACCAAATCCATTTAAAATTTCCTATAACCTCAGTATTTTCCTTAGATGATTTTTTTTTGAAAAAATTATTACATTGGTTTTTGAAAAATATCAGTTATTCTTTTAAGTTGTGAAGAACCTAAAATTGAGTGCTTATTACTCAGAAAATATTCTGAAAATATTAGAGAAGAAAGCAGCATAAAGAAATCTGAGGCAGGACTTAATTTGTTTCCTAGAAACTTGATAGCGGTTCAAGCTTATCCAGTTACTGTGGACTCTGTCTAATTATCATAATTTTATTTATGTGCATGACAGTTCACACAAAGTAGAAATATGAAAATACGACAAACTTTTAAGTACGAGGGAGGAGAAAATAGACTTGATAAGAAAAAACAAGTAGTGCGCCAGTCAGCTCTCCTTGGGAGGGTGTGGGATGTTAACCACCTTTGCTAATACAGGGAGGTGTCAGGAAAGGAAAGAAGCGGACTCTTGCAGCTCAGCGGGACACTGTGCTTTCATTCTCCATATCGTCACTTTCCTAGGGGACTAATCTTACATGACTAATAATTTTTGTCATTGCCACATAGAATTTGAATGGAGATGTTTGAGATTTTTTTTTTTTTTGTATTTTCATGTTGATGGAAGGGGATGGATGTAATTTTGGTAGTTCATCCACCCAGTATTCAGGAGATGTGTTTTTGTTGTTCATTGGGAACTGATTGGGGTATAGCGTGAAAGGGGCTGCACACATGCTGTCTTAGACCAGAAGGCTAGAATTTGCACATTTACGTGTTCTGTAAGAACTGTGCACATAAGATAAATGAATGAACTCAGAAAGTTCATGGATGTTTCACTCTTACTAGCCTTTGATTCCACTTTCCTTAAAAAAAAATTTTAAGATTTATTTATTTTTATTAGAAAGATTTACAGAGAGAAGGAGAAACAGGAAGATCTTGTATCCACTGGTTCACTCCCAGTTGATCACAACAGTCAGAACTGAGTCAATCCAAAGCCAGGAGCCAGGAGATTTTTCCGAGTCTTCCATGCAGGTGTAGGGTCCCAAGGCTTTGGGCCATTCTCAACTGCTTTCCCAGGCCACAAACAGGGAACTGGATGGGAAGTGGAGCAGCTGGAATATTAACTGGCACCCATGTGGGATCCTAGCATTTGAAGGTGGAAGATTACGTGCCGGCCCCTCGTGTTCTCTTTGGTATTTAGTAATGAAAACCAATGCTGTAGCATTACCTATGGTGCCAGCATCCTGTATGAGTCCAGATCCCAGGCTGTAGCTCTTATGGCCATTTGGGGAGTTAACCAATGGAAGGAAGATGTCTCTTTCTCTCTGCCTCTCTCTGTGACTGCATTATAAACAAATGCATCTCTTAAAACACAGAAATAGAGATCTCCCATTCACTTGCTCCCTCCCTCGGTGGCAGTAAAGCTTTCTTTTTTTTTTTAAAGATTTATTTTTATTATTTTTTATTGGAAAGGCGGATATACAGAGAGGAAGATCTTCCATCCAATGATTCACTCCCCAAGTGAGCCGCAACGGCCAATACTATGCCGATCCGAAGCCAGGAGCCTCTTCCGGGTCTCCCACACGGGTGCAGGGTCCCAAAGCTTTGGGCCGTCCTCAACTGCTTTCCCAGGCCACAGGCAGGGAGCTGGAAGGGAAGCGGGGCTGCTGGGATTAGAACCGGCGCCCATATGGGATCCTGGGCGTGCAAGGCGAGGACTTAACCACTTGCGCCACCGTGTGCGCCCGGCCCAGTAAAGCTTTCTTACAGTGCTTCCTTAGGCCCAGTAAACACTAATGGTCACTTATTAATTTAAAATCATAGATATTCATGTTGTGTGGATTTATTTTTTAGAAAATATTAAGCTACTACATGAAGATTTACTGTATTTGAGAAGTAGGTCAAAAAATGAAATAGAAATAAATACAATCAAAACTTCTTTGATAGAAAAAGAACATCAAATTTTATCATATTTAAGTGTCTTAGTGACTTCTGTGAAAGCAAACTTCTACAAAGTGAAAAACTCCTTCAGAAATGAGTTATTTGGACTAGGGGTGGTAGAGATTTCTTTTTTCCTAAATAAGCACTTCACAGAAGTAATTGAACAGAGCACTGTGTATGAAACTTTTATCATGTTTATGAAACTGTATATGCTGCAGCTTAGATTTATTCAGCCTTGTCAGTAAGCTTTTGCCTTATTTCATATTAATGAAATTAAGCACTGTATCCCTCTCCTGTTATCCTAAAGGGGTTGATTTAGTTATTTTTGATGGCCTGATAATAATAGTATACTTCATGTGGATTTTACCTTTGTCTCATTACATAAATGTGATCTTTCTTCCCAATGCCTAACGTTGTTTTAAGATTTATTTATTTTTTGAAAGGCTATTTATGTGTATGTATTTATTACATAATGGACATTTGTTTATTACAAAATGAGTGGGGAGGGCAGAGTAGGAATTGTGAGAGACAGAGATTTTCCAACTGCTGGATTACTCCAAATGGCCACCAAACCTGGGGCTGGGTCAGGCAGAAACTGGGAGCTTGGAACTTGATGTGGGTGGCACATGGGTCAGAGAGGCCCATGTATTTGAGCTGTCTTCTGCTATCCATCCAAGCATGATAGCTGGTTCAGCGTGGAGCACTGAGGATATGGATCCGTGTTTAGCATAAGGAGTGCTAGTGGTATGGCCATAAGCCATCACCCATGACCCAGCGTCTAATATGTGTCCTGACTGCTCCATTTTTCCATCCAGATCCTTGCTAATAGCTTCGGAAAATAGTGGAAGATCCCCCACATGCTTGTTCACCTGCACCCACATAGGAGACCTAGAAGATGTTCCTGGCTCCTGGCTTTGGCCTGACCTAGTTCCAGCTGGGGAGTGAAGCTGGGGAATGGAAAACAAATCCTTTTCTCTCTCCTAACTGTCCCTTTCAAGCAAATAAATCTTTTAAAAATTAAAAATGAAAATAGAGTAATTGCCCATAAGATAATGAATTTTTGCAGTTTTAACATCGTTTTCACTGGGCATCTTGTTTTCAATAATGCTTGTAAACCAGTTGCCTGTATGCTCCAAAAGGATTGCTTTTTCAGCAAATGAAATGAGACTTCATAATAACTGGATGATCGTTGGCTAGTGTCCTTTATTTGATATATTTAAGTAAATTGCGAAATTGAGTTGCTAACACGAATTTTGTACTCTGTATTCTTGGGTAGACCATATAGCCTAGGACCTCAGAATCATTCTTTTGTACCTCACTTAACATTTATTAGGTCACAAACATTAGGCCTAAGATAATTTTTTAAAATTTTATATTGAAGAAGACAGAATCTTCATAAGCAAACTTAGTATCTTCTTTTCTTTACTTGATGGTTTTAATGACTTTATTTTTCTAGGGTGATATACCGTCTGTTGAGTACCTCTTAAACAATGGAAGTGACCCAAATGTCAAAGACAATGCTGGATGGACACCATTGGTAACTTCTGCTTTTTATTTTTTTAGTTAGTCTTTTTATGGTTTTTAAAGATTTATTTAATTTATTTTAATGTTAAAGTTATGGACACAGAAGGAGAGACAGCCAAAGAGATCTTTCATTCATGGTTTACTCCCCAAATGGCTGCCGTGGCCTGTCTGGGCCGGGTGAAAACCAAGGGCCAGGAGCTTCTTCCTAGTTTCCACTAAGGTGTGGGGACGCAAGTCCTTGGGCTGTTCTTTGCAGCATTCCCAGGCAGATTAGCTGAATGTCTCAGCTGAATCAGAAGTGGGACAGTTGGGACATGAGCCAGCACGGATATGGGAATCTGGTGCTACAAACAGTGGCTTAATCTGACATAGTGCTGTTCCTTTTATGGTTCTTAAAAAATAATTTATTTAAGAGGCAGAGAGAAATGTCCCATCTGCTGGTTCACTCTCCAGGTGCCTGTTACCCTTCAGAGTTGGACCAGGCTAAGCCAGGAGCCAGTGATTCAATCAGGTCTCTCATTTTGCTGAAAATGACAGATATATGTCATTTATATGACATATTTATATGACATATCACACGCACACATACGTATTTAAGATTCTGTTGTTACCAGTTCTATTCCTTATTTAATAAACTGTTTTTGAGTATTTGCTCCATGTTAACTTCTATTATCACTGTTGCCAAGCACACAGTAATCTGTTGCTTCACTCACCTGAAAGAGATTTTCATTTGTTGGATGGTTCTGTCTCTGCTCATGCACCACTTAACTTTATGGCTAAGCCCTGCATATAGTAAATTCTTCAGCTTTGGAGAATTTCAGATTGTTGCATAATTTTGTTAAAGGCCTTATCTTTTTAAAAAATATTTTTACTTTATTACAGAACAGCTTAAGAATTATAATTGCTTTAAAGCTGCATTTTTGTTTTAGAAAAAGAACACCTAAGGGCCCAGTGAATAGCTCGTGTTTTTGTGAATTGTGTAAATCTTGATCGCAAAGATTACATGTCTTACCATAGCATTATAAGTGTAGCCTCTACTGGTTTAGAGCCTTGGTGGTCTCTAATGTAAGAATAAATTAATAGGTCAAGAATCACATTTATTTTTTCTACAGCTGGTCTTCTTCACTATTCTTCTCATTGATTCTGTCTAATTAGCATGAAGCATGCAATCTTGGGCACTTGAAGGTGGTAGAATTGTTGCTGCAACACAAGGCCCTGGTGAACACCACAGGATACCAGAATGATTCCCCACTTCATGACGCGGCCAGGAACGGGCACCTGGATATAGTTAAGCTTCTCCTGTCCTATGGAGCCTCTAGGAATGCTGTGTGAGTAGTTGAACTTGCTGATCGCTGGGTCTATTTTTTTAATCATTATTATTTACTTATTTTGGGATTTATATATTTATTTGAAAGGCAGTTGCAGAGAGGAGAAGCAGAGAGAGGCAGTGACAGAAAGGCTTTCTATATGCTGGTTCATTCTGCAAATGGCCGCAGGGACTGAGATGGGCAGGTTGGAGCCAGGAGCTTCTGGGTCTCCAACAGGGATGCAGAGGCCCAAACACGTGGGCTGTTTTCTGCTGCTTTTCTAGGTGCATTAACTTGAACTCAGTGTGCAGCAGCTGGGACTGAGACCAGCACCCATCTGGGATACTGGCCTCTCATGTGGTGTCTTTGTATGCTAAGCCACAGTGACTGCCCCAAAGATGGATTTTGAAGTTCAATTGTACTTTTCAATCAATGCTGTTTGGTGAAGCAAAGTTTCTGATACCCAAGTTGATGCCTTTCTTGTGCTTCTGTAAGTTATGTGTGATCATTAGGTTCTGTACTCTTTTTTATTGTTCTCTCTTTTTTTTTGTGATAATACTTACATGTTTTGGAAAGATTTGATTTTAATTCAAAACAATTGTCAGATACATTTTGTCTATTTTTATTTTATGGACATTCTATTTTATTGGCATTTTCATTTTACTCTGGGTTATCTGTATTTAGATTGATTCAGCTTAATTATAGGAAAATAGTTATCAAAGAAAACTTTTATGTTATCTGATGCTTTAGGACTGTTTTAAACATTCTGTTTGTTAATTCTTTTTCTACGTATTTATCATATCAGCCATTGAAATACAAAAACTTACATATTGGGCAAGTGCCATGGAATTTATTATTAGATTACTCACACTATTCAAATGAGATCTTGGTGAATTGTTTTGTAGTATCAGGGCACAGAGATGCATTAGTGAATGCTGGTAAGCTGTATTTTAAATTTGCTCTTCTCAAGAGAGTCACAAGCAAATAATAAATGTAGATTTTGTATCTTAAATCTGTAACTTGCCTCATATCTTCCTGTGTATTATTTGGCTGCTTTCAGTTAATTGGGTAGTTGAAATGAAAATGCAAGAGTTGCCTGTGTCCCCATTGCGTCTGTAGACTTGAAAAGAGCACACAGAGGTCAGGCTTATCTGGCTACAGGCAATGAATATCACAAAATACAGTGTTTCTAGGGTGTAATTTTTTATATGTAACTGTTTCACATAATTGAAACCCAAGTCAATATTGTAAGAATGTACCATACCTTAGTGCTTTTAGTTTGAATAAAGATATATAATCTCCTTTATTTCTCAGCATAACACAGAACAAACTCTGTGTATTCTTTTTTTAAAACAAGTTTCATACACACACACACTAACACATACACAGAACTAATATAGATATCTAAGCTATGTAGAACTTAACAGATCTGACCCTCCTTTGGGCATAGCATGCCATTTGATGAAACAATCGGTTGTCTGGATTAGGTGAAATGGAGTCATTTCCATCCTAGGGTGTCTTAAATCAGCAGGAGCACTTTAATGAGTGGAGCCCCATTCATGACGTTAGAGAATCCAGCTTTTATTTGTGAGTCCATTATTGACTTTATAGCCTCGGGCAGGTTAATTTCTGTGTTTTGGTGTCCTCACCTAAACACATGGGTGCTGCCTGCTGCTTGTCTATTTCTTCAGAGCACAGAGAGGATTAATGAGCTCAAACTCTGAGCGTATCTTATGCTTGGTATGCCATGATTCTTCACTGCACTGTGAGAACTTATTAACACACTGCGAGCAGGTATCAGACTGAGAGTGTGCCTTCACACATAGATTGCTATTGCTCCAAATAGGCTTACCTCATGGAGTATGGATTTAGGAGTATGTGTAGCCCTATGATGTCCAAAGACTTTTCCGTGGTAATAGAAATGTTTGTGTCTCTGCTGGGCATTCAAGAACAACTTGCCACCTGTAGCTATTAGACATTTGAAAATTAGCTATTGCTATTAATGGAATAAATTTTAAAATGTAGCTTAATTCCATTTAAATAACAATATGCCAGATGACTACTGTGTTGGACAGGTGTTTTATAGAGTTGGAAAGGAATGATTTATTTGACGCACTAGGTTGGGTTTGATGTTGCAGGTACCAGGAGTAATTTTGGTCCTAGAGTATGATGGTGTGTTAAATATTTCTGAACTTTGTTGTTTCTTTCTCAGACTATTATTTTATTTAAGTGCTTTCCTGTGCTTTTGCTTTAGCGGTTTCCTAACTGGTCTGCTTTTCAAATTACTTTTCTTTAATTCATTCTTCATATTACAGCCTGTGTGATTTCAAAAATTGTAAATCTACCCAAATCATTATTTGCTTAGCACCCATCATGACTTTGCTTTAAATTAAAGGTCAGATTACAAAATAAAGTTTGTAAGACCTTGAATGATTAGCCTCTACGTAATCTCAGGCCTAATGTGTCGTTTTGTTTTTTTTTTTTTTTTTAAAAGCTTTATTTATTTTTATTACAAAGTCAGATATACAGAGAGAGGAGGAGAAATAGAGAGGGAGATCTTCAGTCCAATGATTCACTCCTAAGTGAGAGCAACTGCCCATGCTGCGCCGATCCAAAGCCAGGAGCCAGGAACTTCCTACAGGTCTCCCATGCAGGTGCAGGGTCCCAAGGCTTTGGGCCGTTCTCAACTGCTTTCCCAGGCTACAAGCAGGGAGCTGGATGGGAAGTGGAGCTGCTGGGATCAGAACCGGTGCCCATATGGGATCCCAGTGCGTTCAAGGGGAGGACTTTAGCCGCTAGGCCACGCCACTGGGCCCCTCATGTGTCTTTCTACAAGTCTTTGTTTTAATTCCAGTTCTGTTTAAACAGTTTCTACACTAACTTCTAAATTTTGGTTTCCTTAAGTGTGTGCAGCTGTTTTATGTCCTAATCTTTATACAAGTTTTCACTTTATCTGGAGTATTCATTTTTAAAAATAATGATTTTTTACTAATTTTGAATGGATGACAAAGATACAAAGTCAGAAATCTTCCATCCACTGTTATATTCCCCAAATGCCTAACTGTGTCCAACCTGGAGCCAGAAATTCAGTCCAGGTCTCGCCACCTGATTGGCAGGGATCCCAGCTACCCGCTGCTGCCTTTTACCCATTCATCAAGCAGTTCGGAACTGGAGCTAGAACTCCCACCGAAGCCTTTGATATGTGATGCTGGCCTCCCACACCTAAGTTGCCCCGGATTTATTCATTTGTGATGGAGAATATCTAATGTGTGAATGTCATGAGTGTCATCAGTACCTGTCCTGACTCCTCAGGTGCGTGTACAGTGCTTACTGCCAGTGCAGGAGGTTGGTGATACAGTTACCTGTCATCTTTTCATTTGTTCATATGTTTTGTGGTTGGGGATCTTATCTGCTTTCCCAGGCACTGCGAAGTGTCTCACATTTCTTTCTAGAATGAGTTAGTACTTGAATGAATGAAGATATTCTGTATTTTCTTTTCGTTGATGATCAGTTAAGATAACTTCTTCCGCCACTAAGTTAGCAGTGTTTTGAGAATGGACCCTTGCTAGGATGTTAGAACTGGTTCTTGTTAGCTGGTAGAATAAATGCAGAGTTCCATGGACAAAACTTTGTATTTCTTGTCAGTGTATGAGGATGCTTCAAAATATTTGTGAGAAAATGGAAGTAAAATAGAAGTTTATTTTAAAGTTTGTTTTAAATCAGTGAGGCTGAAAATGGAGAGATGTATGTGAATTAAAGCAGTGACAGTAGCAGTGGAAGATGAGGTAGGAGTTTTTAAAATATATTATGTTAAAATTTTGATTGAGAGTTAGAGTAAGCGTATAGATGACAGTGGGTTAACAAAGCTTTCTGGCTGTGGGCTAGGTGTGTTTCTCTAGTCAAGTCTTCTGTTTTATACACATCCTAGTAATCTGTTTTATGTATGTGTGTAAATAATGGTTTATTGAAGTTATTCCAGGTTTTTGATTCTTTTTTGCTCTAGTGAACTAGTCGCTTTTTAAAATACGTACATCCTGTTATTCTTGACAAATAGACTGTTGATCTTACTGTTTTTTTTTTCTCTTCTATTCAACCATTAGGACCTAATTATTTATTAATTTATGTTCATTTATCAACATTTTCAGGACAGTTGCTACAATAGCTTATTTTGGTCTTTTTTAAAAAAAATACTGACTGTAAGTTTATAATCAACGTTAGCATCAATTTTATAAAGATTAATGTTCTTTATTCTATTTTAGAAACACTCAGTGATTTTGAAAAAAAAATCTTTTTTCCTATCGCTTTGAAAGGCAGAGCAATAGAAATGGGTGGGGTGGGGTGGGGAGGGGTGGAAAGGAGATACCTTCCATCTGCTGATTCAATCCCCAAATGCCCAGAACATCTGGGGCTGGATTAGGCTAAAGCCAGGAGCCTGAAATCCCAACTGGATCGCACTCAACCAATATTTAAATGTAAATTGGCATTCCAGTATTATCACTCCTTTCTGTGCCACGATGCCTCTCCCTTGGTTTGCTACTTTTTAATCAGATGATTTTATGTTGTTTCCATTGTACACCGAGATAATCTTATTTCTTGCCTGTTAATATCATTGATGGTTTTTAAAATGTTTTTATATAAAGCCACGGTTACATTACCAGGATACAATATACTTGTTATATTGTGTTATTGTATTATTTATTAGAAAAGACTCTATCAATTTGTCAGATTTATTTAGGATTTTTACATTTTTAACTGGAAACTAAAATGATTTGTGATTTTGATATCAGAATCATACTCAGAAATTCTAAAAGTAATCAAAGTACTTTAGATCTTTTCTGTGGAATTTAAAATAAATGTCTTAGAGAAGTAATTTCAGCCCCTCATTGGCATAACATTATTATATATATATATTTTACAGATTTTGATAATTTAGATTTTACATAAATTTTAGAAATATTTTCAATTTTGTTCTTAGCACTATAGATATAAAGAAGTGATTAATTGAGTTCATACTGAAATCA